GGGGTCACGGAGGCCGCGATCCCGCGCACGAAAAGCGACCTGCAACAGCTCCAGAGCGAGAACGAGACGCTGTGGGGCCAGTTCTACGAGCTCCAGCACACCCTCCGTCGCAAGTCCGCCAGTGCCCCGCACGCTAAGCCGCTGACGCGGAAGGACTACATCTCGCACGCGGTCCGCCAGGCCGTTTTGATGGACCACGTGACACAGATCCTGCGGTTAGAGCGGAAGGACCTCCGCGCCCAGCGGGATGCGCTCCGGGAGGAGATCAAAGTCTACAAATCCGCCCTTCGCTACCGCACGCTGATCGAGGAAGCTAAACACGATATTCTTCATCTCACCGATGAGCACCGGGACTTGAGCCTGGGGATTCGCTGCAATGAGCGGCTTCTTTTGATGAACGAGCGCGTGATCGAGACCGGGGAGGGCTTCCACCGCTTGGAGGAGGAGCTTCGCGTGCGGAACACCCTTTTACGCCGCACCCACGCTCAGGCCCTGCGCGATGCGAAGGAGGCGGAGAATCGACAGCAGAACCTCCGCCGGCGAATCGCGGGGCTGGAGGATGAGGTGGAGACCTGCCGCAGCGCCGGCCCCCCTATGGGCTACGAGTCCCTCCGCCGCCTGCGCGAGGCGGGCGAAGTCAAGCGGCGGAAGATCCAAAGCCTGACTTACCACCTCCAGCGGGGGCTCTCGCCCGCGCACGGGAAGGCTCGTGGACGCTCGGGGGATTCCCCTCCCCCGAACTCGGGTCTCGAGCGGGGGTATTTAAAAGATCGAATTGCCCAAATGCGGGCGGAGCTCGCGCGGCTTGCGCGGGGCACCCCTACTCCCAACCCCTCCGAAGATTCTACCGATATCGTGCTCGATCCCCCTCGCGGAAGCGAAGCGAACGGTGTTTCACACGCGGAGCGGATCAATGGGATCTCAAACGCACACGAGGCGAAAGATCGCGTTGGTCCTTCGGGGGAGGTTGAGGGAAGGAAAGAGTCAGGGCGGGGCATCGACCCCCCGCCGTGGTTGGAACCGTTGAATGAGACGGTTGTCGCGGAGCCGGACGGGTTGAAAGCGAAGGCCGAACCCATTGGCACCCCAGACATCGCCTCCTCTGTTTCGGGCGTCCTTCCTCAAGTGAACGATGAGGAAAGGAAAACGGAGAAAATGGGGGAGGAAATGGAAGGGTCTCTGGAGGAAGAAAAACGTGAACGGCGGCACACAAATTTGATGTGGCTGGACGATCCGGAGGTGGACAACGAGGCTCCTGCGGAAAAGGGGACCACTGGCAGTGTATCTACCAAGGTCGGAATTTCTAATGAATTCAAAGATGATATTAAGCAAACAGTCGGAAATGATAGCCAAGACATCTCTGAAGAAGTGGAGGAATCTGAGAGTAACTTTCCCGAGGGTATAGAGCCAAACGAGGTACCGGATGTTCCTCTCGGGCGTAAGGAGTCTACTCAAACTGAACCGATAACAAATAATGTGGAGGCAACTGATACAGCTCAGGGGGACGATGATGAGCCCGACTGGCTGAAATTTTAGCTTATACTTAGAAAACAGAGCGGAGTGCTAACAACCGACGCAGATAAAATGCTGCGATTGTGGCCATCAAAAGGACAGAAGCGATTGTGTAGACTAGCTCCTTAGAACTGTGTTTCTTCTTGTGTACAGCTTTGCTTTAACGTGTATGTTTAGAGGATATCTTCTTCCTTTTCTCCTTTATCTTCTTTTTTTCAGGATGCTATTCATTCCCTTATCTTTTAGGAGGGAATGTTTATGCAACCCTCTGTCGAGATCCAAATAAGAAAGATTATGTGCACTGCTTTTGTTCTTTTTATGAATTGTTTCTGAGATTTGTATATTCTATTTACAAATCTGCCTATATAATTCTATCTGTCTATTATACGATTTTTCATTGGTTTATCGTGATTCTACAGCAATACAAGTATCTAAATGCATTTATGTTGTCCATTTCCTCAACAACATGCGGAAACGCATTATCAAACACACAAACATAGGATATCGAGACAAAACGTGAAATTGTGAAGAGGCAAGAAAGATTGAAAGATGAAAACAAATTTCATTTTAGAATACACCAAGCTCAAAAGCCTTGTATTATTGATGTATAGAAGGAAGAATATTCGTATTAGCTTAAGAATTGACTCATGTATAAACAACTATAGTAGTAAAAAGTGTTCAGAGACCATATTTGAATGCAAATTTACCTAGTTAGATAAATGTGATTTCGAAAATATGTTTGGAAATTTCATCATTACTGGACTTATTGATTTGCTCTTTTATCGCCCCTCACGACGTTTTCCCTTCTTTTTTTTCAAAAAAAAATAGTTTCAGTCCATCGTTGTTAGTTTTGTTGCCACAATATCCATTTTTGTGGCGGTTTATTTGTATCTTTATTATAATTATAAAACAGTATACCTTCTTTACTTTTTAAAACCCAGAGTTCCAAGTTTTACATTCCAGCTTTGATTTCTACGCTATTTCTGCCGATATTGTTGAGAGGCAATACGCCGGTAAGTCTTAGACTACATCCATGTAGGTTGACTTCATAGATTTCCCATATCAATTCCTTACAGTTTATTTCTCATTAAACTTCTTTATAAGTGGAATCCTTCTTCCTCTTTCAGCCATCAACCCCAAACCCCATTTTCTACCCCATCGGGTAACCCACGTGGCAAGCTCTATGCGAACTTACATGGGATCGACGTCATTCTGTCACCCATCCAAGCAACCGGCCTGACCTCCACACCCGTCCTTCCCCTTTCTTTTTTGTTTCGACGTCTCTTGCGGAGGCACCGCTTTGGGACCCCGAATGTACCCCCCTGTCCTTCCTCGACGGGTCTTCGGGCTCGGCCTGCACGT